TCACATTGGCAAAACTGATAAACAGGTTTTAATAATGTGGCATTTTCTGAGCCCTAGAAGCAGAAAGAATATAGATTTTAGACTCTTTGGGTAACAATGTTCACAAGGATTCATGCATCAAGTTTACAGAGCAAGGATATACCATTCCCACAAAGGTGGGGAGACTTGAGGAAAGTCTAATCTTCACAATGAATCAGACTGGGCTGAAATGAATGCTAGATTCTGGGTCAATTCAAGTTCTCTCTCCAGTAGGAACAGAGAAACAATATCTGGCCTTGACACCAGATTATGAACTCTGCATGGAATAAGGAGGCAACCTAAAGGGAATAGGTCACAACTCAATCATAAATTTCAACTGTCTGATCGGACAAACATGAACAGTGTACAATGTACTCAGTGTGTGCAGGTATATGCAATGTATGCAACGTCTAAGATCTTTTTTGTTTGAGTAATTTAAGGAACATGGACAGAAATTACTAGTTTTAAAGTTGATTACAATTCTATTCAGATGATTCAAACGTTTCTTTTAAAATACCTACTTGAAAACTTAAGAGCTGCATTAGCATTTAAGTAGGATCCATTTTCAAGAAGAGAAAGATTTGCCTTATCTCCGCTTTTGGGGGCATTGCCAAGGCAAAAAAAACAAAAAAATAGTGCTGCTTCAGGTTACCCTACCTACCCTATTTTGACAGCCCCTACCCTATTTTTTTGGGGTGAAAATAAAGGAAAAAACCAAACCACCAATTAGTACCTTTTACCCTTGACTACCTGCATACACCTCCGTAATGATCGTACACAAAAATAATTACCAAAAATATATATATTTTCCCTACCTACATGTAATCGGAAGCAGAAATATATATTTTTTTTTGGCCTAAGGTTTTGGGGTGAATGGCAACAACAAAACAAACTGCTGGACCACATTACATTATCTCCTGTGTAATAAATGACTTCATAATATATGATATTTTTTTAGGAAGATATAAACTGTACGTTCATGGAATTGTTCTACGTATGTCACGGCAAAGTACAGCTCAATTTTCAAAACTGTCTGTCAGCTCGCGAGAAGAAAAATGCCACAGGCTTCGTTAGATAAGAGACAAACCCACAACTTAAAGAGTTGAAGCCACAACTTCTTGACCACTCAATCATTGATGGATCTGATATGGTTAAGGATAGATTAATTGTGGCATTTGATAAATTTTTCTTTGGGATTTTTAAGCAAAGTTTTGCTGCTCATCAATGTAATGTGTTTACCAGTTGGGTTGTGGTGCAGTGGTCTAGACATCTGTACTTGTAAGCAGGAGGTCGTGGGTTCCAGTCCCACCAGAGCAAGCGTGTCATTAGGCTTGGTGATTTCAAAATGTGTGGAATTGATTCTGATTCCACATAGGAGTCACAATCCCATTTGGAACCAAATCCATTTCTATTCATTACAAACATGAGGAAAGATGATCATTTCACAAATGAATGACAGTACGTAGTCACTACCATTAAAAGTTACATCTTTTTAAAATGCTTACAATGTACATTGTATTTACCACATACATGTTTTGTAAATAGACATATCGAGCGACCAACATTTGTTTTAAAGTGTCTAGAATCTATTCTTGGGAGAATGAAAATACTGGGAATCCATTCCACAAAAAAGTGAAATCACAATTCCGATTCCAACTTTGGAATCGATTTTCTATTCGATTTCGACCTGGAATCGCCAAAACCTACTTGTGAAGTTTCTTTACAGATTTTCTTGTGCGGCTGCGTGGATTGTCACTATATGGTAATTTTAATCCAATTTTTTTTATTTTCAATTTCAGGGTGGAATAAAAACCAACCTGCTGTCATCTACTACATACCATAGCCCAAGACACCTAAATTTTATCAAACAAATAAATTATATTTAAATACCTGAATTGAAAAGTTCAATTACTTGAAATATGCTGCACAACACTTATAAAACAAGGAACAAAAACTTTTTATTTGGCTTCCATTACCTAAATTTCTTTTAATAAATGGTACCCAAAGACTTCAAATTTTGATGATTTTTGTTCATAGTAAAACGCATTGACAGCTTAGTCACAAGATGTTTTAAATTTCATTTTCCTACCACTGACCACATTTTGTATTTCGCTTCCAGCACAAAAACAATTTCCACTAACTTGTTGTTTTATTTGTTTGTGGGTTCAAAGCAATAACAATTCAGACATGTTTGAATTTATGTGTGAACTCGAGTTCAATGGGATAGGAACGCAAACAGAAATAGCCCACGTATTTGTCTAGCTCTTTTGTCACGGGACAAAAAGAAATCACGATAAATACTGGTACCTTTTTTTTTGTGGTTGTCTACATCTGCACTTGACATTTAAAGCAAATACAATGACGCACACACAAACCAAATACCAATTTCAAAAAACTGTTTTTATTTATTCAACAAACTAAAAATGACATTATTTAACACCTACACACAAAAAAACAGTTGGTAAGTTACCAATGAGAATTTTGTTAGTTTTAAATTTAATTCTTTACTGTTTTTAGAGAAAGATACCGTACGTTTATGAATGAGTTAGTGTGATCAAAGTGTAAAACTCAACCAGCAAATAAAGAACAATCTTAGGAAACAAGAACATCTAAATAAAGACACTAGGTCAACCAAACGAGGAGTACCTGTATTTTATAAGATAAAAGGGTTGGCTATTTGTAAAGGTTTCTCCGATGTGAAAGCCATCCACTTAAAACTGGTGAGCATTATTAACAGTCCTGAACATACACTTTTCTTCATGTAAAATTTTCCACAACCTTTTTTTTTTTGAGTAAAAGAAATTAGTAGTTTCTTTTCCGGCCTTTTTAGAAAAAATGCAGGAGGCAGGCGCATTTTCTGTGTTTTTTGCAAGATACATGTAGCAAATTTTTTAAGATGGCGGATGGATCCTTCAATTTTCTTGACTATTTTGCTGATATAAAATTGTGTGCAAAGGAGCCATGACCCTTTTTCTATCTAGCTACAATTTTGTTAAAAACAAATAAAAGAAGGCATTGGAAATGTATGAATTAAAAAAAAAAATTTAACAACATAAAAAGGAAGCAGGTGGGGACGAGTAACTATTTTTTTTAACATGACGTAAATGATTTTGAATTCTGAACACTTAATGGAAACATAATGATTAAAACTTCAGTGCAATTGAATATTTATTTTAGTCTGCTGGCATAACCCCTCACCTCCAGTATGCATGTAGCAGCTCATACCTGCTTTAAAACACATTTATTTAGGTATGTTACTTCATAATGTAAACACTGAACTACAGTACTGGGAAATGGGTGTGTGCAATCTCATCTCTTGTGTTTGTTTAAATGTGAAGTGCTCTTTCTGCTGAGTTGAAGTGGGTTTATAGTGAACGTATTTAGTTTCAGAGGATTGCCACTTAGAACAAAAACAGTTTTACTGCATGTCCAGTTCGCCTCAATGTGGAAAATAAATGTTTAGTGAAATTCCGGTGTCATTTCATATTTTAAATCATCACTCCATTATCATATAATTTTTTTCACACCAGGTGCATATTGTTTTTAGCCCCACACAAAGTCAGGCATGCAACTGGGAATTATGAGGAAAAACAAGGAAACTCCAAACAACACAATATTTTGTACAGTATTTTTCATCATAATTCATGGCTTAAAATGTGAGAAACGAGAGTGTTCCGTGCCGCGCGCGATGAAATGAAAGCCACGCTGTACTTGGTCCAGAGAATTAAAGCGCCCTCAGTCGACAGCAAATGATGAGAGACAGCCAAGTGCGAGAATCTTGTGATCCTGGTGAACGAAATTCTGGTAAATTTCACATTTTTGTTTGACATTTGAGGGATTTCAACCCACCCTAGAGGCACCTCTCCACATCAAGATAATACTTGTGAAATATTGAGGCCGAACATTTCATGACAGGAGAGTTTGGAGATTTGAAGAAATTGAGAATTTTCTGCTACAGCAACTTCAATTGGTCTTTCTGTAAGGTTTGTAAAAACCTTACAGTTCTGGAAGAAATGGTTGCCCATGAGGGCTCTGTACAATGTGCCAGCTTAAGAACGGAAACAAATGTTGGACCGGTTCATGGTTTTTCAAACAACTTCAAAATTGATTTGAAATTGTGAAAATGTGAACCTCTCCGAAAGATTCCCATATCTGGCCATCACTTGTCACCCTGTGCACAAACTCTAGGAGACTTGTCTGAACATTTCTAAATGTTTTCTCAGTAAATACTTCAATATTTTCCCGGCTAAATTTGACTTTTTAGGACAAATTATCACTTTCTGATGGCTGATAGGTCACTGAAGGGAAAAATTGATGGCCAGATATGGGAATCTTTCAAAGCTCTCAGCTCTGCAGTGAATTGTAGCTGTTTTGGAAGGCAGTGGATAGTTGGCCGGCCCCTGCTTTCTTTACTAAACGATATTAACCTGGCACGGCACTGAACATGTGCAGTGACTGTTTTTTGGGATTGAGAATATTTTTACAATGACAAAATCACAAATATTACTACCTGATTCCGCGCCAGCATTGTCATTGTGACTTTGTATTCATGAGATGGGAATCAGACCATAAAATTTCGAACTTTATTTCCCTTTAAAAAATTCTTCAGAGCCGGCCACGAGCACGAATAAGAAAGAGTAAATGTAGACCTATTCTGCAATCATGGCAATAATAAACGCATGAGTCATGACAAAATGAACAGTGATGAACAATGAGCAAAAGCAATGGCACTCAGACTGTATTGAAATGTGAATTAAATAAGACACTAACTAACAGTAACATGTCAATTGAAAAGTGTTATCCTGAACGGACGACTGTGACCACTGGTGACATGAATGATGTAACGATGGGAATCCCTGAAATTGAACGCAAATTTTCTTACTTCGACTTCGGTGATCGGTGATCGTGGTCCTGTCAAAGTTGAAATTCGTTCAGCAACAACATTCCGTCATTACGGCACAACTTCGTCCAAAATAACTCACCTTTTTCTGTCCCTTCGTCCAGCCGCACTAACTATCTAGATCGGTCGATGATCCCACTATCCAGTCAAAGCCCGTACGTTCACTGCACTACGGTTTATGTTTGCTTGAACCGATGTTATCTGAATGATAAGACACCCTCTCATTCAACGACATGCAACACAACGACAGGGACGAGCGCCATGTTTGTCAGCCCCTTCATTGCGTTCATCTGGTCACATGGGGGCGCTATTACATGTCTCTGTAAAGTTTTTCAACTTTTCACCCGTCCTATACCCCCCCCCCCATAAAAAAGAGTGACTATTAAAAAATATACAAAACAGCACTTACCGAACACTTTCTGCCTTGAGAATTTGACAAATAGTTAAATAATGAGAAATTTATAATTCAGAAAAATAATTCTGCATTATTCGTATTCACTTTAGTTTTTAAGAAGTGTTTGCAACAATACCCATTTTGGGAATACTACTCATTTTTAGAAACATGATATCTGCTTATTGCCAAAATTCTGGCAAACTTGGTTATTTATGTGCTGGATCTAAACAACGCTTTACAAAAGGTGCGGACCTAAAACCTTTGTCATAGGATTTCTACAGATTTATTCAGGACCTTTTTTCTTGAGTAAGAAGGGGAAAAAAGAAAAGACTTTAATTCAATAGTGACAGAAACTTCAGTCATTTACTGGCGATGGCACAAAAACAAAAATCCTATAACAATGCAACTCAACTTCAATATAACTTTAATCTATCCACAGCTTAAATTAATTCTTCAAATTCAAGGCCAATAAAAGTCTTACACAAAACAGGCACAGCGAAAGGGGGAAACATTAAGTTGATATCAATGTGCCTTAGGCATTAGATAAAAGCATACAATCTATAGGGAGGAGTTTGAATAGAATACATGAAAAATTGAGAATGACTAAAAAAGGGTCTCCATTGTACCTGCAAGATTTCCTCAAATGGAATATGCCTGACCTTGCAAGCAATAAAAATGTATTGTACTTATTTTATAAGACTTGCTCAATATGGAATTAAGCATATTTAATGCATCTACATGTACATGTATTCATGAAATAAAAAAACTCTCCTTTTTGTCAAAAAAATAAAGAGCAACTCCCGCCTGAACATATTCTCCACTTCTAATCCACTTATTTATTTCAGTTTAATAAAACTTCCCAACATTTTTGTCTGAATGCAAATGTAGGTGGAGACACGACAAAATATCAACAAACAAGCAAGGAAAACAAACTGACATCACTCTGTATTTTCAGAATTCGATTTTGTTTTTAATTTTGGGGATATTTTTAACCCTGGAGACATGCTTATATTGCAATACAGCACAATAAGCAACTACATTCATATACATGTATGTGGTTTTTTTTACCATTCTTTTGTTTTCTTTTTTAAAAAATTGGGGTTTTGGCCTTTGCTAGAATCTAAACTATTTAAAGCTTGGTATAAATAAATAGTGGCAGGACTTTGATGTCCTGAACGCATCAAAATAATGAAAAAAAAACAAAAACATAGAAATTTGATTTGACAAATTTTGGCCCAGTTAGGGTTAAACAAAACAATGTTTACTCATATTTTGTAATCAAGACAACAGCTACAAATATGCAAATTGAGTCTAGTACCTAAACTTCTTTATACACATGTTCACATTTGTTATGAGGGTAACGCACAAAACAATACAAATTATAGAATGGCAAACTTTCCATTTGTCACGATGATAGTTAAGCTTGTTTTCACTGACATCTTTACAATTACACCGGTATCCTACATTTATATACAAAATACTGGTGGGCACCAGGAAATGTTCCCCTCAAAGGAGAGACTGTACACATATCAGCCAATAGAGGGCTTGATATGCACTGATAGTATAACAAGATATAATACTTTGTTGACATTATCTAATAAACAAACTTTTTTTCAATGCAATTGTTTTAACAGCAAAAATTGTTAAATATATTATACAAATATAACATGGTTTGAGGGTGGATAGTCGACAAACTAGTTTGTCAACAACAAACTAGTTTGTCGACAAACTAGGTTGTCAACAATTTCCAATACCAAGGGGAGCAAAGATCGCGATCCACCCGAAATAAACCATGTTATATTTGTTTTACTATACCTCGTACATATTCAGTTGCCAAATTTTCCCGTTACAGTACGCACCTCGGCATAAAATCTTCGGAGAAACTTGTCCAGCTCACCAGAAGAATCTTGTTCAACCTCAGAAAAGTTCAGTTCTTTTGCAATACAGTAACTCCTAAGAGTTTCTACCGCACTGTGAACAACTTTTTTTAGTAGAGGAGGTATCTTCATTGTCCACAATATTCTCAAGTTCGGCATCATTGAGCTCGGGAAAATGCTGATAAAGGCCATGTCCGAATTACTTGGCTTCGGCTTGAAATTACGCGTGTCTATGGTAGTGGCTGCAGCCACTGTCCGTATACTTGTGCCAAAATCTTTTCATGTGTAGCTTGGGCGATGTCCACACGTGCGTTCTACACCAGTGCAATAGTTGCTTCGTAAAGTGCATGCGTAGTGGACTATCGCACGGGTAACCGGCGCGATAGTCCACTACGCATGCGTGTTTACCCTATGCGCGAATACTCGCATGCGCACTTGGTAAACAGCAAAACTAGCGGCTTGCACGTGATGGCGAATGGACCTGTGAGAATTCGGCTCTGTAGATCATGAATATGTATGAGGTATAGTACATGTAAATTAGACATTTGAGCCTGTCATGCTTGCAAGCTAAAACAGGCAACTTACACAAAAAAATCCATCCATAGGATATCTCACAGTTGCGACTGTGCACTAGTGAATAGAGGATTTCCAGTGGATCACAGATTGGCTTTGGCTGTGCACCAGTGAGGGATAGGTATGATACTTGTTCGTTTGAAGCACGGTTACCAGTCACCTCGTAAGTATAGCAACAATGCCAAAGACACCAATAATAAATTTAGATTTGATCCTTTTTTTTCCAAACCGTCCATCATGATTCAGCTTCGATGACCTGAGGGGTCACGACCTCTGCCCCTGTGCAGTTATCAAGCCCGCCCTCGTCTGGTTCGATGCACTTCCAGAGTCCGTAGCTCTTGCCGAGCGTCGTCTGCCAGAGACGTAGAGTTCCGTCTTCAGAGCCGCTGGCGTACAGCTCACCGTCGGGGGAGAAACGGACACAGTGGACGGGACCAAAATGGCCTTTATAGGACTCTGTTGACGAAGACAAAGTTTTGCTAAAATATTGAAAACTGAATAGGAGAAATGAAAATTCAATGCAAAATGTATTGTGATTTAGGTTTTAAAACAATTTTCTTTCTCTATGGTGCCTTTCTGCTGGTTAATCAGACAGAACGAATTGACCAATCAAGTCATGACTTTTGGTCAGGTGACCAAAGCAGCTCAGTCAAACTTGGTCAGCGTTCAGGGATTCTTAGGGGCCCTGAGCTTCCTGACATTTATGTCCCAAATCCTTTAACCAAGATACCATGAACAGTCTAGAATATAGAAACATCATTTTCATGGCGAGTTTTGACATTGATCATTTTAATAGAGACATCATGTGAACACCAACTTTAAGAAATTCCAAACAAAGATGATATAAAAAAATATGCCGATTGGCAGAAAGTTTCAGAGAAACAAAGAAATTTCCTCACCCAATTCTTTCCCGTCTTCGTAGTCAAATTTATAGATCTTGAGATCCTCCCCTCCCGCCACGAAGCAGCCCTTGTCTGGGTGGAGAGATGCGGAGTTGATGGTGCAAGGAGCTTCAAAGGTCTTGATCAGCTCAAAGCTGGACAAAAATTGGGTTGAATAAAAAAAAATACTCTGATATTGTACCATCTTATTAAAACATATTGATTAATGTGATCTGGCTTTCAATAGAAATGTATAAATTGATAGAGGACCAACTATCAACAAAAATGGCGGAAAACGAAACTGTGAGCGCTATAAAATTTCATTTTTATTGCACATTTTTTCCATGTTAGTTTACGATTATGTCACTTTTGTCACCATTGTACAATAATATTGGTGATTATGTAAGATGTCCTAAGCTATACACAAATCACTATTATTTGTGTAAATATAGAGAAACAACAAGTGTTGAATAATTGTGCGACCGCCATTTCCTGACGGTCGTTGACGTGACAATAGTTCGACTAGAGTGGTTCGCACTTCAACTTCAGTGCGCTTGTGCTAGGGACGTCACGAACCAACCATTAGTTAACCACTGGATGGGCCTCACTGGAATCAGCAAACAAGAAATGGAATGTGGAAGGCATTATTTTTACCTTTCTGTTTCGTAGAAGCTGATTTTCCTGCCATGGGAGACCACACAGACATCTCCTCCCTTGGATAAATCCAAGCTGATGGTTCCTGTGTCGAGAGTTATCTTCTTGATTTCAGTTCCACTTGCCACGTCCCAAATACTGCAAGGAAGTTTGAAACTAGTAAGGCATAATATATGATAAGGTTTACGCGAGGTCATCCAGCAACCTGGATCGGGAACCCTGCCTTATACTAGGGGAACAAAACCCAAACCAAGTCTAAGACCAAGACTCATAAGCAATTTACTCTCTTACCTAATTGTCTTATCGTCTGATGCACTGATGAGTTTCTTGTCGTCGCTGAACCACATCGCACAGCGGATGTTAGATGAGTGGGCGGGGATCTCCATAGGCTCCGCCTCTAACTTGGCAAGGTCAAAGATCCTTAGTTTCTTCTCGTTACTTCCTGTCAGCAGCCTGCCGCTGTCCTGTTATGATTCACAAGAAACAAATGAGGAAACGTCATTTTCTTTTAGTATTATTTGTTTTGATTATGTGGAAAGAGGTTGATGATAGAATGTTTAATTTCAGAGATGCCACAGGGTCTGCTTGAAAAACCCGAACAGCTGCTTGAAAAAACCGGAACTTTATTTTTTGTGAAAAAGCCACTCCGACACAAAGTCCCGGTTGTCATCTTTCTCTTGTAGCCAAGCCCAGTTCCATTTATTTTTGCTTCTATGGCCTTTAAGCTGTCGGTTCGTTCAATCACTTTGAATTTTTCCATATTCCTATTAATTATTCTGCCTACCCGAATTTCCAACATAATATTCGACACGAAACATGCACGATTCCACAACACTGTCGGTGTACATGACCTTTGCACTACGCGATGCGCACGACAAAAAAATGGTTGGTACCTGGCGTTTTTTGTATTCACATATATCACTGTGATCGGGAACCACCGATAACTGAAATGATAGACTTGATTTCCAGGTTGAATGCCTTGTATGCTTAGCACACAACACGCCCGCACGCACTGCAGCACGCGAGGCGCCATTGTATACTGCGTGCAAGAACGTTGGCCGCCTGTATCGCATGCAGGATCGGCAACAACAAAGATTTGTTTTTAAGACTACTTCAACGAACAACGTTGTGCTGTGCGTGCGCAAAATACAACAACGAGAGCGCTAACGAGGTAAAAATCAAAAATCGGAATTTTGTGAGGTAAAAAAACCCCCGGAATTCCGGTTAAAACCGGAAAAGTGGCATCTCTGAGTTTTAGTGGTGGGAGGAAAAAACAGAGATGAATATTCAAAGAATTCCATAGAATCAGGAAGAACTGAAAATTCAATCAACTACTAGCCAAGAGTGGATTCAAACTGGGGTCACAATAGTGGAGAGGGGGAGTACTAGGGCACAAAATTTATCTAAAATTTGCTGAAAAGGCCTACAAGTTAATATTTAGTTCAAAGCTTCAAGGTCCTTAATCAATTTCTGGTGAAAAGTTTTGTGCAAGATAGTCTCCCAAGAATTCTTTCATTTCGGGATGAACTTTCTTATTTTTTTCCATTTTCCTTTGAATGTTCAGGTGTTTACTTGCCTTTGAGAAGTGAACTGCCTTGACAATGTGTCTGTGTGTAAAGCTGTGCAGCTCATCACCACTGATGGGATCCCATACCTTACTAAAGGAGAAAAGAAGACAAGAAAACATTTGTAAACATAACATACAGGGTATAAACAGAATCAAAAAACAATTTCAATATCTCTATCAATATTGAGCAAAAGTAGTATAATAAATCACACAGGGTTAAAATGTCCAATTAGATGGTCATATATATACTTAATCAAATAAAACTAGAATATGCAGCATGGAAGGGGTAAAGGGATATTTCAATAAAGTCCCTTTTTTCAAAGTATTAGTTTTCTGAGGTATTTCACAGTGATCATGCTTCTTCATCACACTCCAAATAGTATGGCATTGGCAGATAGGTGATGTGACTGTGCCTTTGATGATACAAGCATGGTATTTGGCACACAGTCAGAGTATGTCATGAGAAAGATATTTGGCTATAGGGCCATCGCAGATTTGTTCTTTGAAAAAATATAGGTAGAATAACAAGCAATGGCAGCCATTTAAATATTTTTTAAAAATTGCTAGTTATTTTTCAAAGGACAAATCTGCGATGGCCCTATAGCCAGATATCTTTCTTAAGACATACTCTGACTGTGTGCCAAATGCCATGCTTGTATCATCAAAGGCACAATTCCCCAAATATTTCTCCTATCTGCCCGACTAAAAGGGCTTGCTTGCTTGTTTTTTTCCTGCAATACTCATGATACTTGTTGAACCTACGCAGTGAAATCAGCCGCCCCTGTGGCTGCTCTGCTGGCTTCAACGTTCAGTGTAGCCCCCCAGACGGCTCCCTTGTGACCATCAAATGTCCCCACCCAATCACCGGTCTCGCCTTGACGAAGCATCGGCTTGCCATCTGAAACAAAAACATGTGTCCGATGAAATAATTGTAGAGTGAATGGTCAGGTCACTTAAGAAATTTGTTAGATGGATCGTGTCTGTAAACGTGGGTACTTCAGAGTTTAAAGTAAATCCTTAAAGGTGGAACTGGAAGGATACTGGGATAGGAAAGAAACTAGTATTTGTTCGTGATTGGTTAGAGTGCTATTTCATTACTTCATTAGGGCATTCTCGTTGTCTTGCTTTCCGCGACAACGCACCAGACGAAAATTGAACTCACTTGCGGCGCATGAAAGCGGTGTGGTACCCACATACATCGCGCGCGCAGATTTTTTTGATGTCATCACGTGATGCATACATTTAAATAATTAGTAAAACAAAATGGAAGTCAGCCGTTGGAACTGGCATATTTTTACGGACAAGCCACCGAAATCGTCAAGATTTTTCACTTTTTTTTTGTGGTCTGTTTCAAGTCGATCATTAGGCTTCGTAAATGACTGCTGAATGTATGAGGTATGTAAATGAACTCTGGGGTGGGATAAAAGAGGTGAAATTCGGACAATTTTGGAGAGGCTGTTTTTTTAGGGTCTCTTGCTACCACATGGAAACGAACAGGTTATTCCTCCAGCGTTACATGTGAATGAATATGGAACATGTCAGCTGGAGTTACTCAAGCTAGTGTGATTGTGATAATTTTATGCATTTGAATAAAATTCTGTTTGTTTGTGTTTTATTTAAATAATTAAATCATTCCACGTTTTCCTTGCTCCATGATAAGAACTAGCGTTCTATAAAGAACTAGCGTTCTCACTGTTGACAATGAAACTTATCTGTGAGTGACAACAAAGACATGCTGTCCGATGTAAACATGTCAGTGAGGGCGCCCTCTGCGAATAAATATCGATACAAAAAAATCACGTTTCCACTTCTGCCTTTTCTGGATCGATGCCATGACACGGGAGCAGGGATGGAGAGCATATTCCAACTATATCTACTTACCTTTGCAAGCACTGATGAGGAAATATCCATCAGGCGTGATTCCACTGAAATCTACATGAACAACTGGCCTCGTGTGTCCACTGCAACTCAGCGGAATCTGTCGCAATGTCGCCATGTTGAGGGCAGAGAACCTTGTCACTTGAGGGCGGTACAGGAAGAACGATTACAGAGGGCGCACTTCAGCCCCGAAAGGTTCATGTCTTGTGACTGAAAAAAACATGCGACGTTCTTTCTTTTTTGCGTCAGATTTTACATCAGATTCCTGGCTCCAAAGGATTTAACATGTCGTTACGAACCTTTGTATTAGTACTCTTCATCGGCGTCGTGTATTTTGGTGTTACAAAGGTTTGTAAAGCGAAAGCGTGTTTCAATCATCCTTGCTCTGTGTTTTGACAAACACTCATTTCTATCATGTCTATGTTTTGTGTACACGCCACTTGGTTGTGTACAAAGTGTGTGGAGAGTCGAGTGCATTTTTAAAATATTTTTTTAAACAAAATTGGAAATGTTTCTCAGTCCAAGATTCATGTCTTTCAACATTCTTGCAAAGATTTGCATTCATTGAGATCAATTAATGCATGATGAAAAATGTGGCAACATTCTTTCCGATTGGAGGACTATTCGATGATCATGTTGATCATATTATTGGTCATTCTTTCAAAGATTTTGAAAGATTTCAGAAAATTACTTGCAAAATTTAACCACAAAAGTAGCGTCTGGACCTATATTTGCCTCAATGTTACATGCTGTCTGAAATCACTCATAATAATGGCCTTCCTCACATATTATTTTGTTGATTTTCCAGGCGCAGTTTGAGGACTGTCGATGCAAATGTGTCTGCCCGGGAGATCCCCACAGTAAACACAAAGTCAACGTGACTGTGGTCAGCGTGCCTGCCTTGGAATGGTAAGCAAATACAAGAAATCTCAGACAAGAGATCATGCAGGAGCTCAGGATTTCTTTGTGCTACTACTTGCTCCATTTGGAACCAAGTTACACCCAACTATGGCATCATCCCAACTATAGTCAGGACAGTCCCAACTACAGATAGATTGTCCCAACTATAGTCAGGATTTCCCAAACTATTGTTGGGACTGTAAGTTACACCCAACTATGGCATCATCCCAACTATAGTCAGGACAGTCCCAACTACAGATAGATTGTCCCAACTATAGTCAGGATTTCCCAAACTATTGTTGGGACTGTCCCATCTATAGTTGGGATCATTGCCGTAGTGGGGCATAACATATTCAATGTCCTTGCTATAGACTCTTTGCATTGCAGCCATCTTTGAGGCACGTGTGGTTACATAGGGATGTGCATGAGTAGCCCTCTTTTGAATTCATTGTTACTGAATTAAAATGACACAAACCCTCAAAATGGCTGCTGAATCATGCAAAGAGTCTGTCAATTCATGTGTTGGTTACACGTGTGGTATTGCATATGTTTTTGTTGTATGACAAATAATGTTTTATCATATAATTCAATATCTGAAGTTTTAAGACTGTTTTTTGGCTGTATTTTTTCTCTGAAGCACATGCCAGCATGTTACAGGCAGGAGTGAGTTGGAATGCCTTCGTTGTGAGTGCAAGTTTGAGGTCCGGTCTACCACGATCATCAAGGTAAGAAATGCAGGTCCATTGGCATGAGGCCTGAGGGATCAGGTTTGCCTGGGGGTACTTTCTTTGCCTTCCAGTGCTGTGACCCAGGTTCAAATCTCGCCAAGACCTACACATGGATCGGGATTTTAGTCTATATTTGATTCTGTTGGTTTTCCCTGGAATTTCATTTTGGGGTTTTCCCCCGACCTCTAAAACTGTGAATTTCCTTTCTCATCTTCTACCTGGGGCTTCACTAGTAATAATCCAAAAGACTGACAAATATTGATCAAAAATAAATAACAATCAACTAAATTTACTTAACAAGCCCCTACCTTTAGATACGACCTCTGTCTCGTAGATTGGACCCTCGTTTTGCTGAGCAGATTTTGTTGTTTTTTGCTTTGCAACTGAAACACTGACTTTGAAAGACTTGGTATGTGCCACTCTGATGCTTGTATATATTTGTGAGCAGAACAGATGATCAACCCTGACTTGACAGGTCTTAAGCAAGACCTACTGAGGCTTGACATTCTCAAGACGTGGTATCACGTCTTTCATACAATGCTCTTGTATCTGTTACAGATTGTGGTCATATTCGTCCTGGTCCTGATTGGTGTCTTGTTGGCGTATCTCATCGCGTTGCTTATCATGGATCCAGGAATGCTGAAGAGGAGCGAAACAGACCGCAGGAGACAGCCTCAGGAAGTTCTTGTAAGTTTACCAATTGTCATTCGTAAGAAGCTTACAGTAAAATGCTCAGGATCTTTATGAATAACTATTTGATGAAACAATTTTAAGCTGCCCTTATTAGGATATGCCTCCAAATCAGATGTACCTTTTGTTGTATTGTATTACTTAATATTGTGTTGCAAATCATGTAATTAATGTTTGTACTACTTTATGTATTGTCATTTGGTTAATTGTGAATTAAATTGCAAATTAATGCTACTGTATTGAATAGAGATCTTTACCATGTAAATTTCAGAGGGGCTTGTAAAGGAGCAAGTACTGACATTTTGATTGACATGAAAATTGCTCCATTTAAAATTTGAGGAAAAAAGTGAAATCTAGAGACAAACCATTGCCATTTTAGCACTGTAATTACCATGACCAGTTTATGCCATACTAATATATCTTTTAAATGTTATCTTTAAAGTATCAGGATGCTGCGGAGGTTGCACCAGGATCGTCATACTTCGGCCGACGTCTTGGCCGTGTCGGATCAGCCCAGAAGAGATGGCAGCACAAAGTCAAGCAACAGCGACAGGACGTCTTTCAGGACCACACCCTGTTGAGCTAGCCAGAGATCACTTGGCTGAGCCAGTTCAAATGGTCCATTTTAGGTCTTTGACTACGGCTAGCCGCATATTGTGACTCAGAGATATTTTCTTGTGGAATCTGACAAGCCACTGTTGGTGGCTGGAAGGCTGTGTAGTTTCATGCTATAGGAACAGGAACCTATTTGCCCTTTATTAAATTTTATTTTAGGGTGCAATTGTCAGAAAATAATGACAAATGTAACCATTTTGATTAAATGGATACATGTTGTCCTTTGCCCGATAGGACAAGACAGGAGTACTTTAATGTGTTAACCAAAATAAAAGTTTCATATGTAAACCAAAAATACAAGTTTCGGGGAAGCTGAAATGCAGATGGAACAGATTTATTTATTTGTTAACTTGTGTTGAACTTATTTACTGAAGAGGTGGGGGAAGTCTGAAAAATCACTTTCAGGAAACCCCCCCCCCCCAAAAGGAAATGAGTCGAGTGTGAAATTAAAATCTCCAGAAATGATACATGTACTAACATTTAAGGCGTTTACCAATGTTTTGGATAGGATGGAGCAGAGGTTGTAAAGTTCAGCCCAAGTAAAGTCACCAACTAATAAATATTTTCCAGTAATAGGTGCAGTTTTTACTGATTGCAAAAAGCACAGTACTTTTCATCCGGTTACTAATTTCAATATTTTTTTACAAGTACATGTAATACTGGGTTTCCATAAAAGTATACTGAAGTATTTCATCTAACAACTGTATATAAATAACAGATCATGTACAACATTTGTACCTTCGAGGTGGATTTGTATATTATACTTATGATATTTTGTAATTTATGATACAGATTATTTTCAACTGAGCTTGCCGAAGGAGGCTTGAATCTGTATTTTATTAAACTGTTGGTATTTATTCTTGCAAATCCAAAATGTGGGTTCTTGTCATTTGCTCGAGTCCATTTTGCAGTTTACTTTTTACCAAGTTTATAACTTTTGAAACAGACGCTTAAAATACAAAGTAAGGACTTAACTATCCATGTTGATGTTCCAAGTCTAGTTTTGCGAGGTAAATACAAATTTTTTTTATTTTCAATATAAATTACAACCTAAGTGTAAAACAAGTTTACTGAAAACAACTGGTTGTTTTGCATCGTTTCTGCAGATATAGAAAGATAATTGCAAAATGAATGTGCTTTTGATTCAGTAAGCTCTTAAGTTTTTTTCACCTCCCCGATTTGTCGAAAGGCAGGATAAATTTATTTGACTTTCTCATATGGATGCCCACTAATCAACATATTACTGTTCCCCCCAAAATGAATAAATACGCTTTCATGTATTTCGCTATTAACCCTAACTCCCTAGGAGGTGTGCAAAATCATATTAAAATTGGAGGATTCAGGACTGTTAGGGATAGGCTATTCAATGCAATTGTTGGTTTAAAATCTCCTCTCACTGAGTTTTCTGAAATGCTTTGGGTCCCTTTCCCTCCCAACAAATTGCAAAAAAACTTGAAATGCCAGCTCTTCGTTTTTCAAAACTACAGAATGAAACAAGTTTAACGCTGAACAATAGTTATGCTTATCAGAATAAATAACATTACTCTACATAAATTAAAAAAACACGCAACATTGCGTGCCAACGATTACTGATAACAAGAATGGAGAATAAATACATTCATAACATTATCAAACTTTACACAACAGATTTGCAAAGCGTAAAATGGTTTAGATGTGAACTATGAAAGCAATCTCGAGCAAACCTTTTAATTACTTTCCGGTAATACAAGCAAGAACAAATTCGATTTACGACTTCCAATCGGTTAATTTGATAATATCACATTTAGAACTAATATCGGTGTAATTATTTTCCCAAATTCTAAGAAACGAAAAATCATGATTTTTGTCAATGAGCTGTTCAACAGTCTGTACTTATATGTGTTTGAATGTCACGTATATTTTTTTCACAGATACTGTGTCAAACATATCTCGACAAACCCTATTTCAGTAAATTCTATACTGATAATATTTACTGTATAACATGTTGGCCTACATGTTAACTCGTCAATGTTTATAAGGCAAAAAAAAATAAGTCTCCGGTTTCTGGTATGGAGCTTGTCCAAAAAGTGGTGCGGCGACGCGGCTTTTTTTTTTTTTTACCTGACTTTTTTGCTTCAAATGTCGGCTGATGACTGCAAATGGTGCCCGACTAAACTTAGTGCAAATATATGGGAGTCCAGAGAGGCCACATAAAGCTTATTCTCGATCATAACCCCATCTAAAAACACGTTAAAATTGTGCAGCAGCAGGATTCCAGTCAAACCAGTGAGTTTGGCGGTTTTGAGACATCATCTTTCATTGAAAAAAAACCTTTTTCATTTTGCCGACGCGCATGGCTACGGCGACGCGCGCGCATACCAGAAACCGGAGACTTTTTTTTGTTGGCCTAATCACGATGTTTTTTGCAGTCGAAATCATGCCGAGGTTTGCTTTATTCACGTTGGGTTGCCGCATCTGCCCGTGTCGTTATTGTTGACGTCACTTTTGGCGGTAATGCTCTGCAAGCTGGCAGGGACGTGGGTCGAACTTTCACTGGGTCCATTCGCGAATGGGACTCGAATCCCTCCTGTATGTGTGCATATTTAAGAAGGAAAACAAATCAAGTCAATTTTAAGAAAATAATCTCACGATCAAGGCCTTTGCATTTTAGTGTTTGGTAGGTTAATTAGGGTATCCAATAGCCTAATTTTGGTATCCAAAAAACTTAGTTTAAGTTACCCTACCGGCAAAAACAGTTTCTGTTTGTACTTGTGTGACGTGTACACGATCATCCATGACTTTATCCTTGAACAAAGAACTCATTTCAAATAACTTAAAATCACCAACTCAACATTACAACGTTTGTCTTCTATTATAGACATTGTTCTGGCTGACATGATTGTTTAATCGAACAATCCTTTTGAAAGTGACATTGCCTTCCATTATCTGGGCGGCATATGCGGTATGTTGTTATCTTGCCGATAATCTCCTCTGCAAGTCGTCAGACACTTTTGCCAAATTATTGTTCCAATTAAAATGACAGTTGCATCTCAAGGCCTTGAAAACAACATACAAGTATGGATAAAAGAAATGTGTCCATTCCTCGCTGTGAAATTGATACAGAGAAGCAACATGGAATCCAGTTGGTAAAAGGGCGCGAAATGCCACGTTGCACCTGGGCGTATTACTGGCGGATGGTTCCCTACGCGCTCCGGCCAGCTGCGCGGACAGGGGCCGAATTCTCGGCGGGAAATTCTGGGTCAAGATAAGTGGTGTCATCGAAGTGATAACTGCGATCTAGGTCACGAGGCGTATCCATTACTAGTGTGCAACAGTTGCTGATGATGATGATGCAACGTGACTGTACTTTGTGGTGTTTTACACACTGTATCCAATCACTGTTGAGAAGCCATTGGTATAATTATGTAAGGGTATTTTCGGTGTTATCATCATTATCAAGAAAACTGCCGATTGCATTTCTAGGTGGAACCGCTTTCTTTCTTCTGATCCGTAAAATGCACGCGTATCTGCCTTTCGGGTCTTAATTTCGTTGAAAGCATATGGATTTTTAAAAAAACTATGTCGACAGAAGTTTGCAACTACAAACAAGCAAACCAACGAAGTTTAGAACTCGATGGGATGAGTCCCCTCAGAAAGCTTAGACATGAATTCGAGATGAAGGTCATGTTGTTTTTCTTTCTTTCACATGAACAATGTCCACAGTAGTCATGGAGCCTGTTTGTAATTTCGCAAACAGACGATCGGCGACCCATCAGCTGGAGTTTTATTGACGAGGCAAAGCCCTAAGATTGAGCGATGGGGAAAATGGTAAAAGTTCCCGGGTTCAGTCTCCTAGCCGCGCCCGGCCATTGCACCGAAACGAAGCGGGTTCCCGCCGCGAAGCAACAGCTGAAACTGCGGGATGTCGGGACCTCCCGAAATAAAGTGGTAGTTGTGACAATAGCACCGAAAATTGCGTGGAAGGTTGTTCATGATGTGGTTTTACGCAACATTACGATGCTCAACGTACGCTCTGATACAACACTGTATTACGGGCTTGATGCAAACCTATTTGGAAAAACCCCCAGATGATTTCTCAGATTCCATGTTTGCCATGTGTTTTACTTCAGCTATAGTTTTAAAAAGACAATACGTTTGAAATTATTCGTTGTCTCTCGTTACAACGGGAGTCAGAACCAAAGTATTTCGTGTGCAATATGCACATTGTTCCCCCAGAATTGTGATTAAAATGCTTGTTGAAACAACTATGCGAGATGTGAATTAGGAAGTTCTCGAACTAGGTTGCATAATTATATAACATGCAAACTGTACCAATTGTATTCATTTTCGTTCATCGAAATTAAGATTTTAAGACGCAGTAAACAAGGACAAAAATGTTGGGTTCACAATATCTCAATATCCTTTTTTTTGGGGCTTGAATATCTTAGATGCTAATGAGTAAAGGTTAATATTGTTGTGATTTCGATCAAATAAAATGAATGATGCTATACGAACCGTAGCCATGGAGCCAGTGAAGAGACCCTGCATCGTGGGGCGGTGGTGGGGCGGTCAGGCGCGGTATCTGCAGTAAAAGAAAGTGGAGTTTAACTCATAAGAACCAACCAAATACCCTATGCCGGAACATATAAATTTAAAGCAAATTTATTTCCCTTCATTTTTTTCTTGCTCTAAACTTGCTTGAGTATCTAAACATGTTGCAATCGTTCACCATCACAACAAAAATCGCTACCAGATGTCATGCGATTTTTCACATATTAATAGTGAAACTTCTCTTATCAAAAGGACGATTTTTCTTTTCAAATGCTTGTTTTTGGCACATTTCTGTCGGCGATCTCAATCAAATTTAATATGTCATTTGGAATCACTTTTCTTGGATATTTTCGTTCATTAGTATTTGAAGCTAAGCACTGAAGTAGATTATGCATACAAAAAACGCATTTTTTGTTCTTTCTTGATTTCTGTTGTTGTTTTCCCTCCGAAAATTCAAACAGAATTCACAAGGAAAATGAGAAGTTTTGTCAATACGAAATTCTGCGAAATGAGTGTAGCTTTGAGAGGCGTTCAATTCAATTCATTCCAGCAGTTTGACAGATAAGACAGGCATTATGATTGCTCTTCGTGTGTTACGCATTGTGACTTGATCCAGGTTAGAAAGGAAACACCGTGGGATTCACTAGGTACCGCACCGTCGATCGCAGCGGTAGATCCGGTCAAACGGCCCCCGGCCCTCGGTGCGATTACCCCGCTCACACGATCGCGTTACGGACCGCCAGGTCCGTACCGTCCGCGGGGCCCATTGGGCCCGGGCCAATCCCGGCCTCCCTCGGTGAAAACCCGATACCACCGCGGAATCAACGAACAGATTTGACAAATTTTCTAGTTTCTTGGGTTTCCTCTCAGCGAGTTAAAAATAAGAGGGGGCAAATCGGACGGCAACAATTGGGGGAATGAATTGGTATAAACTGCTAATTTGTTTCAAAGTGAGTTGACCTGTTGTATCTTAAAATATATTTTCAGAAAGCGAAAACTCGACCGGGTCCGGAGTTTAGAATCATTGTATGTGTAGCTTATAAAGAAGTAAACATGTATGTAACTTAAGATAATGTACCACAGCGCAAGTGCAATACACATTTCAGTCAGTCAAGCTTTAATTCTATGTAGAGGCTGGCATTTGCGATTGCAGTAAAATCATATAATCGGCAGTGGGGTTTACTTGACGTCACAAGTTCACATAGCGCACCCTAGGCGAGCTACTACGCGTGATTTATGTTGCATGATGCAAAAAAAAAGTCGGAATGATGAAGTAAAACGTTGTGTATTACTAAAATACCGCGTAGTTTCACGTGATTAACAATTAACCCAAATTATGACTGCCGTGAAGATAAAAGGTAAAAATCAGTAAAATATATTTTCCTCCACGAGCATCCTTGTCTGGTTTATCATTTTACGGAGTTCAGTCGGCACAGACCAAGGGAAACACGACCGCTCCGCTTGATTGATTCTAAACGCGTTCGGCAGAAGCAGATCCGCTCCGACACCTGAAACAACGAACAGGAAAGATTGAGATAAATTCCCAACGATCTTGAGGGTCTAAAGAGAAGTTAAAGGCCTTGAGGAGGACATTCCAGAACTCCTCCTAGACCGAGTCAAGCACCTGGAGTTCGTCTTGAGTTCATCCGTCTCAGCCGGTCATTTCTCGAGGCTTCTAAGATAAAAATCTCTCGAGGTTCAGGATATTGTTTTTGTATTCGTCCGCGGATGGTTTTTGGAGAACACAGGCCGCGGAATTGAAGCGGAAAAAATGCCCACTACAATCGTTTGATGATGTCGTGCACTCTGAAAGTGTTTGCTTGTATTATGAAACTTTAATTTTGCAGCATATTGTAGAAAAAAAGTTATACCAGATACATCGACACAAACCGGTTTTCAAAAAGCGCCATTACTTTAAATTCTAAACATAATTACATGTATGTATCCCATAAAAAACCAATAGGTAATGAGGAATACGTATTAAACTTTACGAAAGCATTTAAAACAGTCATTCGCATTTTAAAGTTGAAGAATTCGTTTCTCTCGACCATTGACATATTCTGTCTTTCTTGGCCAGATACCAAATCGAATGGTTCTTTCCTGCCGACCAGGGAACCATAACATAATATTTTCCATTTTGTTGGGGCAGAACCGTAAACGAACGAGTCAATTGAAATGTCAAATCAAAGCATCAACCTCCACGGTGGAAAACATGTGCAGGTGATAATGTAATTTATCCAATTTAAACCGAGCATTGGCAACTCCCGCCATGTTGGTATCGTTTGCCTTTTGACTGCCCGCCATGCTTGCAATGTGACTTCACTCGGAATGTCGGGGAGTGATCACAGCGAGAAAACATCTGCCATGTTATCGCACTCTCCTATAAATATGACCACAATTTCTGGGTTTCGTATCATGTTGAGGAGTCAATGTGGCCCCGTGGGTGCGAGGAAGGGCCTAAAATTTGGTGCTGATTGGGCAATTAGCGGGACGAATTGGGTACCAATTTGTCACATTTTGGTGGAAGGGTCGATTTCGAATGTTGGCCTGCTTTGATCGTGAAACTGCCATGTTAAAGACTCATTTCATAACAACATGAAGAAAATCAGTGGCGCGAGAATGGACGATTTATCATTCTCAACGAATTTTCCCTTACAAAATGTAGTTTTCAGATTAATTTTCAATGTTTCGAAACTGGACATTGTAATCATATCAGGTGAAAAAATTGTAATTTTCAACTTGTATGGTTTGTGGTGTGAGATCGGGGATAATTCGAGATGTTCATTAAAACCTTCAGCTTCTTTGGTTTCCATGTTGAATTCTGAATAAATGAATAGCTCACAATTGTTGATTATTGAAGACGAGCAAATCAGTTAATTTCAGTACATTTGAGACGAGCTCTCTCAGTCAAGAAAATATGTTATGTTCGTACGTTTCCTTGAAAAAAAGTACAAAAACTATCAGCAAATAAAAGTTGTATAATACGCCAATCACGTGATCCCTTTCAAGACGATGGATTGGCCACATTTTGGCGCGCAGCGGACGCCCTTCGCTACCCGCTGTTACCAGAACGAGGCAGCTGTTGTCGATCCGGGGGTAGGGGAACATATCGGCTTGGTATGGTCGGTATGCTACTGTATGGGAACTTTGGGAGTTGAAAGAAAATGTTATAGCATGTGGCCCATTTTGAATTATGAAACATCTTATAATAGAATGCACAATAAACTATCTAACGCATAATTATATTGAGAATATTTGGGAAATTAGTAAACTAAAGCATTTTCCAAATGACTGTTCAATGTTAAGGCAACTTAAACTGTATTTTATTAGAGTGCTGAGAATCGCTTTGGTAAACCATTAATGATTTAGAAAGAAAAGTAATGTAGTAACATTGACATACGCTCAAGCTAATTGTTTAATCACCTACTGTGTTCAAAATGGTCATGAAAAACACTCTTAAATGCAATTAATTAACGAAAATTCGATGAGGATTTTCCCAATTCACAAAGCACATTCAATGATAGGGCTTTAAATAACAGATACAAAGCCAGGTCCTGCACGTAGTAGAACAACGACTACATAGATAAATGTGTAAACTTTGTAACGGTTTGCAAAACTACTTTACAAAAATTGGTACAATCCTTTTCAAAAATTTGTTTTTGTTTATTTCGAAATAGGAAAAAATAAAATAGCAGTCAGATCTGAGCTAAGTGCATGCATCGAAACCTTTCATGGGAACCGAGGGTCGGTTATTTGTGATCCGATATTAATTTGTCCCTCGGCAGTGTCTGGCTAGGGGGTCTACAGATATTTCTTTTAGCTGGACCGTACCAAAGTTGGTAACCCACCCAAAGGATGAAAGTTTGCATAATTCCAGAACTTCGAAGGCCAAAAATGTATTCTGAATGCATTCTATTTATACCTCGTTATTTAACTGGTCAAAATGTTCCCTAAAATGTTTAACTTTTTATTTGCATCCTCGTCAATTCGTTGTTTGGAATACTGTTTATGGGCGATACTATTTTGGTAAGAGGGGTGGTCATGTGGTTGACCCTTAGGGCAGCTTGCCGCAGGTTGCAGATGTTGTCCATTGAGCGGCAAACAAGGGAATTAAAAAGAAGCTTCCTTCCAAAAAACAGGTGCACCTCCTCAGATTTGATTGGTCGACCACAGGGAAGCGCCCCGATAGGTCTTAGATCACCCAGCCTATGGTGTTTTACTCGTCTCTTTGTCGAGATGTTTTTTTTTTTTGCCTTTAAAGATCGATTTAAAGATAAAATCGTCCAAAAGTTATATCGAAAGTCCAGCCTTTGATCAAGCGATTCTCGAACGAATTTGAAGAGAAATTAGAATACTGAGAACAGATGAAAGTGAATCATCGAAGAACCAATATTAATTATTGAAAATAACTTCTTTTCTTTCATAAAAAGTCATTCTGGTACTAATTTAAATGGAATTTTAGTTAAAACCATAACCCTCTAATAGTTCCCAGGACTACCCTGCTTAATCCAACAGACTCCGACAGTTTATATGAGTTTACTGCTTAACCCACCAAAGTCCCACACAACCCAACTTGCCAATTTGTTGGATACCTGAACATATAAAATGACTGGCATGCTCAATCCAACAGAATCCAACTGTGCTTTATTTTTCTGCTTCCTGCTGGATCCAACAGAGTCCAACTTGACGTTATTTAACAGCACCCAATAAATTCAGACTCTGAATGTTTTCAGTTGCCTGCTGAAACCAACAGATTTCAACAGGAATAGATACAAAGGGTTTACTGCTCAATCCAACAGGACCCAACAGATATGTCGAAAAAGTTGATTCCTGTTGGATTGAGCAAGGATATCGTAAGTTCTTGAAAATCAGGTTTAGCAATTTGTGTTGCGATGCCAATAGCTCTTTCTTGTAATAGTTTTTCGATGATCGATAGCTTGAAGGACGGTTGGACGAATTTCGCCACGTTGACCAAGAAAAGAGTTACCAAAATTACGTAACTAAATAAACCACTGTTGATGCAGAACTGGTACCCGTGATCTCTTCATAACGTTCGACTAAAAGTTTGTTTTCATCATCGAAGTGCATATTGTTTGGTAAAAAACAAATTCAGTGTTAAAAAGCTATTAAAGACTCTTTTTTTTGCCTTCGAGACAGATATTACCGGCCCTCCAACTTTTTTGATATACACTAATTATCCTCTTTTGAATCTACTATTAAGATGAGAGACGCTAAATTGGTGTTTACAGCGGGATTAAAGAGATCTTCGACCTCGCCGGGGTTCATATTGACAACCTCTTCATCGTAATAAATGGTGTAATTTTGTTGGTCCTTTTTTCATCCTTGGCACATTCATCTTGTGTGTGACTTTAAGAACATCCGATAGTGGTGCCTTTGGTATATGCATAACATCTTGGTATGACTGCACTATATGCATGCTGAGAGGCAAATCAGCTCGCCAGTATTTATGGACGAAAATTTTTCCAACATGATTCATGACGAAGTGCTTTCATTAGCCTCAAATCCAAAGCATCTTAACTTGTAAGTATTGCTCTGTTGCAAAAACATATTATTTAAAATTGAATATCTAAATATTTATCAAGGTTTACGTCAAGATATTTGAAACAAAAAGAGATGAGACTGTATAGTTGACAGTCTGTCCTAGCATTAGACAGCTCAAGAAATATGAAATTACGATTTTCTCAATTGTTTAGAAAGTGGATATACTTTTTGAGAAAGTATGCAAGTAATCTTGTAGAATTTATGGTCATCGTTAATCGAAGTACAGAACAGAAAATAATTGTGGCAGGAAATCATGAAGCAGACTTGATAGTTTCAGAAAGACAAACTTTAAGACTATTTGAAAGGGACTTGAATTGGAATGCCGATTTATTTATTTTAGATATTTGCCAGGAGTAGTTTGAAATCAAAAAAATGTTCAGTCCGTTTTTTGTTCTTGAAATTTTCACCTTCATCCCCAATGTTATCTTTTAACGAATGTCTTTGAAAACAATGAGAAAACAACAATAAACTCTCATGAATGATTATCTAGTTTAAATATTTGATGTTCGCAAATTATTGTTTTCAAATATATAATTATAGGAAAGTTGGCTTATTATTATTATTATTATTTTTTTTTTTATAGTTTTGAATAATTATTTCTACCGACCTTAGTTGGGGGTGGTGCAAGTTCCAGTCTGCTGCATGTCTCGACGGCTGTTCTCGAAGTGTTGCCTGCAAACGTGAAGCTGGTCGGGAGAAAACCAATCCTTGGGTAGTGGTGGTGATGGTGAATATAGTTGCACATATCAGCCGTCGGGAGATTTGGCCCTACTGTGATTGCCAGCGAAAACAATTAAAAGAAACAATTACAATATAAAATTATTTTGAATTACAATTTGGAGCACAATTTTATGAAAATGTACATTCCATTCACATTATTTTGAACAGAGTTCATTCTGAAACTTTTACAAAGTGCCGTAACGACAAGTCTTTGAAAAATGTCATTTTAGTAAAGCCCCTTCCATTTAAGGGAAAATGCCAAATTTGCATTTCAAACATCAATATTAATAAGTAACATAGAAAATGCATATTTAATTTTTTTGATGTTATCAAACTTTGAAGTTAAGAAACTATACGAAATTTGTGTACATCGGGACATTATGTGCCAAAAACTTTTTTTTTTTCAAATCTGAACTTACAAGAAGACATTTAATGGTTCCTGCTCATTAACAAAAGAAACATTAGTTGTGTTCTGTAAAATTTCAGACACAGCTACAGAGATGTAAATTGCGCTGGAGTCTATTAGGGTGTTTCTGGCCCGCGGCTGCCGGCCAATTTGGTGCCGGCGCTGCGCCGTGTCTGCCAGGGCAGAAAGCCCTGCGCGTCTCGCTTCGGGTAACTGTTAACACGGACTTTCTGACGCGTGGGTATGCCTGGGTAAAACTTGCGATTTTGTGTTCAAGACGAGAAACAAAGTTTACAGGATGTATCTTAATTAATGCCGATCAAACTTTAGCATGACATTATTTTATTGAATAGCAATATAGTTTGGTAAATTTGTGTTTCTTTAAAAATAAAAACTGATTTTTAAAGTTACGTGCTTAAAGACATGCATCACATAAACAAACGAAATTAAAACAAATTTGGTTTTAAAATTAGATTTAGGCCTATCGAGAGAGGTTTCGATAAAATTTTTAAAAAAATATATGATAACCTCGCTCCGGAGAAGTTCTCAACTTATAAGCCTACATATAAAATATATAATAAGGAAATTGTTGAGTTATATGCAGTCACTTTTTTTCAATGGTACATGAATAGAATTAGGAATTTCGGGAATTTCATGCAGTTTCGTAGTTTGCTTGCTGTTTCAATAGGATAATAATCTTAAAACTGAAAATACATTTATTCATATTTTTTAGACCTTTTAAAATACGCCAAGACCCATGAACTTTAAAGCGTGTAAAGATGTTGGTTGAAATAAATCGTCATTACTTTTTATCAATACCATAAATTCAGCTGTTTAACCTGAATTGTAATTGAAATTTGAAAGTCGGATTCTCTAACTATTTTATAATGTTCAAATCATTCTTATCTGTGTATTTTCATTTCGGAATTATATCTGCGATCAGTTTTCAATATTAAGAAAAGGACACGATGTGAACATGTTAAGAAATTTGATTTTCTTAATTCAAAAGGAAATATCCAAATTGTCTTACCTATTGATCTTGTTTCATTGAGATAGCTTGCCGTATCTGCCTCCCATAACACTCTCTGTAGGTGATTGATGTAGTCTATAGCTGCTCTCAGTGTGTCTACTTTGCTTATCCGTCGTCCATGGTGCATGAACGGCAGTACTTGTTTCAGATGTTCAAACCCCGAGTTCAGATGATTCACTCGGTCTCTCTCCCTGGCGTTGGCTTGCTTGCGCCGTGCCTGGTGCGCTTCTGGCCCGTCATCCACGGGCTGGGAGTCGGTCGAGCTACGCCGCCGGCGTCGTGGTTGCCGCCTAGGCGGTTCGATCGGCGCGCCGTACCGTTGCCTCAAGCTCACAGAGTCCGGTCCGATCTGGACAGCGCTCGGAAAGAGCGGAGGTCTCTTAAAAATCGGCACAGAAAGTCCAGCATGATGAGGTAGATTTGTGAACGGGGGGAAGGTTTGGTTTTGAGGGACTATAGGGATACCCGGGTGGAAGAAGTTTAGCGGTGCACCGGTGAGTGCAAGGGGTGGTAAGGGAATGGGTAGTAAGGGACGGGGTGGGAATTGTACCGGAGGGAGAGGAAGATATCGTGGGTGAGTCGCGGCTAGATACGGCCGGAGGGTCCCGGTGATGGGTACTGGTCTGATTGGTACATCCGTAACTGAGTTGTCCCTAAATGCACCGGAGAACACTAATCTGTGAGTTGTAGAGTCAACTACAGAGTTCTCAGATTTGGTTGTGGATGCAGTACTTTGCATAAAAGTTTGAACGGGAGTTTTGAGGTGCGATATCGGGGACAAGGGGCGGGAGTCCAGTGGTTGAATTTGCAGAGGTATTGCTTTGATTGATGACGGTAATATCGGGCGGACTGGGCCGGGTACCACGCCGGGAATCACGGGCGCGTCAGGGTGAGGAGTTCTAGTGATTGGTGGCGGAGTACGAGTAAGTCTCTGTCTGTTCGGCGATTCACTTCTCATTCTCCCATGGCACTCGTGGTGTCTCCTTTTGGTCGATTTTTGCCCCCTTTTGGCATCTTTTCCCTCTTTCTCGACAGGCTTGGGGATGTTTGTCTCCTCAGCATCGATCTCAGATCGAGAAATGTGTCCCGTTACCATGGTTTCTGAAGATGCAACCTCCGCATCCCTGTCCTCTCGCCTCAAGAAATAATTCTTCTTAGAAATTGCCTCGCTTGTCTTGACTGGTCTTCCTGGATTTATTGTTTCTGTTTCTGGGCCGTGGCTGTCCACTTCGATGTACATATTGATGTTGGTGTTCAGGTTGTTGTTTGGGAGCACAACGACGGGTCCAGCGATGCCTCTGGTCCAGTTATTGACGATACTTCTCTTTCGACTGTCAGAGACGAATGTTTCAGTCATGACACAAGTTTCATCGTGGATACACGGCATGTTTTGAGCTCCTTGCGCCTCCAAGCGGCCAGCACCGGCCAAGGTTGAGGGGCAAGAAGGGCCAGGGGCAGGCGGGACAGCAGGCGAAGTGTGAACGCACGCTGCGCCCGAGACGCCGGGGCTGGACTCGCTGGATGTAAACACGCGACTCCCACGTGTGCTCAGGTCAACGGCAGAGTCTGAGGAGTTTCTTACCGTGGTCGAGTCTGCTATCTGCTGGAGTAATGTTATGGAGGATGATAATAACCAAGATGTTGATGATGACGATTGGTGTGGGGGTGGTGGTTGAGGAGGGGGCGGAGTCGAGTAAGGTGTAAAAGTGGGCTGGGCATTCGGTGGTGTATTCAGACCTACTTGAAGAGCTGTGGTAAATCTGTGATGTGTGACAGCATCTTGTGATGACTGAGCAGTGACTTGAGCTGGAGAGACGGGTCTCAACACCGCAGCACTCCATCCAGTATCGTGACCCAAACACGCTTGATTCTCTGAACTGGCTGGTAGTTGCCACGAAGTGGTATCTCCATAACGCGTGTACTGCACCTGACTTGAACCACACTCTTCATTTGAACGGAAGTTCATGAAGTCTACAGATGGGCAGCGATAGACATTCCCGTTCGCGTATGCACCAACACCTAAATTATCACTCTCGGTAGACTCCATGTGTCTTCATAATACTTAGCACAGCTGCAAAATGGCGACGTTTTCGCCTACAAAGCCTACGGAAGTATGTGCGCCTTTCTGGTATGGCCGCTACAACAGTTACATTTTATTCCCAGCCACAATATCTATTCTTTGCGCGTGCGATCTCCAGGTGTTCAACAATAGACGAAGCTGGGCTTGGCATCGAGCCCTAAATTCCTTCGAACAATAGCCGACCTCATTTTAGTCACGTGCCTAATTATTTATGCGCCATTAGGACAAAGAGTAAGTTTTAGGAATTCTTATAACAATTGAAAGTCGAAACTTGTTGATGGAGGTCTGTGAACGCAATAAATCCGACGCTGAATCATATTTTCGTGTGCTTATCGATTTTCTGCTGCTAGAGGAATTTCTAACTTGTCACCGTTCTCTTTCCAGCGAATTTTTCATTGTGCCCTTGATTTTAATTTCCGCTCGGTGTTCTGCGGTGAAGATCAAACATACAACCGCGGATGCCAGGATTGGAGAATTAAAACTTAATGACTTAAATTCTAGTGTCTAATTTCAAGCTTGTTTTTTTTCGCTTACCACCCCCCTTGCTCAAGCTTAGTACCGATTTATCGGATAAAATGACATATTAGCGTTTATTGTACACTGCAAGATGGCACTCTTTCTTTACAACTTACCACAATTTAGTTCTGTCAATTAAAATGATGAAAAATACATATGCATTTAATTAAGGAGGTTAAGAACACTTAGGTATTGAAGTGGATCATGTATCAATACATAAATTTATCTTTTATTATTAGTATAATTTTATTTTAACACAATAGTCCATTTTTTTGTATTTTGAGGATGAACTCAACATTTGAAATGGAACACTCTGCCCAAAACGCTCAAGACTAATACGTACTGTTTATTTTATCCTATAAATGTTTTTTTTTTTAAATGAAATATGAACTGGAAGTGATTAAATTGATTCATCTGAGCAAAAAATATTGTCAAAATATAGAACCATGAACACCCACCAAGTACAAATACTGCATCGGTATTACTACTTCGTCTTACAATAAGGGAAATCATCTACCTCAGATGAAATGTTATTGGCTTTGGTCCAAACCACAGCACAACATATTAGACTGCAGAAAAAATAATTCAGGAGTTTGTGTGTATTTTATTATATCATTTTCTTGTCCAACAGAACCAAGGGCAAGTTTACCGGTCATTGTACCGCGCCGAGCGGTACGTGGTGCCGAGGCCCTGGGGGCGAACAACCGCCAGAGACCCGAATAATTGCCGACAAACTCGGCTCAGAACATCTGGCCACTTCTAATCATTCATTTTATTACAGAAATGAATAAATGGAGAAAGTTTTACACAGAATGAACAAGCTTAGCTCTTTTTGCTCACGCAGGTTTGGTGGAAAAAAGTGGTTGGTGGTGGAAATGTCAATAATGCCCACACATGAAGTAGTGAAAGTAGATAGCTTAGTAATTTTGTGGCTCGATATACGGAAAATGGAAACTAGATTGCAATTTTTCACAGTGTGGACACTCTTGCTGAGGTACAGTCATGATGTATGGAGAGTGGGTACACTTTTGCACATAATGTCCCTGGATAAAGGCATATTGGCATTCTAACAATAGAGATTTTTTTGGGCAGAATTGTTGGAGTCATGTCTTGGCAAGTGCTCAAGAAAAATGTAAATCTTTTGAACTTCATCATGAAGTAGAATTGAATGTGCTGTAAAAAAGTTATCTGCTATTCTCTCCCTTCGTACATTTTTTCGGCAACACGTTGAATTTGGCTGTGTAATGTCTTGCTACTTAATTATTTTTTACATTTCAGCAATGGTCTAAAATTAACTGTATAATTCACAAGTTATACGTAAGGTGCAACATTTATTTTGTAGGTATAAATGCATGGTCAGACGACCTTTTGACCACTTACAGGTCAATAGGCCAAGTTCAAACGAAAGAACTCTCGGTCAGTGCCACTGGAACCTTCGGAGGAATAATTTTTGAATCCATCCAGGTGCTTCGTTTCAAAATGGCGGCCGCGGCGCGCCACCCAGCGCCGTGGAATGTAATCGCTTTGGATGTGTCTGCTGTCGCAGGCCAGGGGATGTACGATGCTGGGGGTTTAGGCCATTCGGAGCACCGCAAAAAAAGTGGTGATTTGATCTGGACATCAAAGCACCAAAACATTTGCTGCCTGCGTCGAATATTGGGACGGAATACAGACCGAGAGAAACAAGAAAAAGGTGCGAAACTTCTGTCTCAAAAATGTGACCGTGCGGGCATGCAGACAGCGAACTGTTAGGGCGCCATTAAATTTTGCTCGGTTAATGACCTTTTGGGTTTTCATGTTGTTTGAACATGAGCATTTGAACATCGGCATAAAAGCTATGTACTACGTGTCAGAGGGATTAATTAACAATTTGGCCTGGCTCCTAATGCAGATATTAACAAAATGCTCATCTTTGTCCAGGTCTCCTTAACTTGAAACAAAAGTCAACCGTTTCATATGGCCTACTGTTTGGGACACCGTTTCGCTGCGCACAATTCAGCTGAGGATAAGCTCAAAACAAACATTTCAAATCATAGTTTAGATCTTCCTAATTAATGGAAGTTTCTGTGGTAGTCAGCTGGACACAAATCAACATTCTAATTAAACTAAAATCATGTTTTCTGTTCTGGCAATCACTGTAGAAGCATTTTTAAATCATCAGAATATTCCACTAGTTTTTTTTTCCACACGCTACATCTCTTTGGAATTCCTTGCCTGGTGCTTGTTTCCCTCTAACCTATGATCTGTCCTGTTTCAAGAGAAATGTTAATTCCTTCCTTCAGTTTTCCTTAGTACCTACTCTCCTTTTTATTCCTCTTGTAGCCCTGTACCTGAGGTGGCTCTCAGCTTTGTTCCGGGCCAAGTATGCTTAAATAAAAAAAAAATAAGAAAATCAGAAATTCTTTTAAAAAGGTGATGATTCACAATCGCTGTAGTCTATATTCTGCAAACCTTCAGCAAAAGAAAATCAGAAAATGGATCCTATCACTGCATTGTTTGGCCACATTATTTTTTTTAGCAGTGATGTATTTAAACAGACGAAATTCTTTACGGAACTGATCTCTGGAGATGTACATGTCGATATAACTTTGTTGTTAATTTCAAATTCGGCCATAATTTGATTTTCTTATATCAAATTATCATTAACAACAAAACAACTCAGAAGTTTGTAGGCCTAAGCCTTTTTTAAATTAGCTCTTGTTTTAATAGTAAGCTCAGATCAAACTATTTTCCAGCCCCAAAGTTCAAGCAAAACAAACAATATTTAGCCTCACACATAACCTACAGTAATTAACGTCATGTATAGTATTTTTTCTCCAAGGTTTCTAGACATTACAGGAGCGGACATTGCCCTCAGGTCATTCTGGCGGTGGCTTGTTCTCTGCGGTGCAACGGAAACAAAAGCGGCAGGTTACTGCAAACAATGGCACTTGTTAGACACCCAGCCTCAAGCTATGAGTTGGGTGTAAGAATGTCAGGCTCTTGGGCTGTCTAGACGGCACCAGACTCCAACACACCTGGGAGACTTGATTGCCAAAAAGTTTCAGCTATTACAAGAAAGAAATGCATTTTTTTTCTTCTTAAAAAAAAATAAATTAATATCCTTACCATTGCTGCAAACACTAAAGTTTAGCATGGGTCTCTTGGTGCTGTAGCCATTTGCTGTTTTAGTAACTTCAATCTCTTCTGAATTATGAACAAAAAATCGAAGACACATCCTTGCATCCTTACTGGTCTTAAAATGAATGTTGATAGTTTTTGCTTGAACATATTTTAGAAGAGTGTACAATTTGTGGTGTCTAAGGTTGTACAATTTATATTGGAATTCAGATATGCACTTGTAAAGAAAACATTGGAATGATAAGAATAGTCAGAATTATAATGAGAATTTTGATGAAAAGTCCAAGAAGAAATTCCTGGATATTCAAACCACAAAATAAAACTACACACTGCAAACATCAAAACTACAAACTACAGCAGCTAAATATTCCTACGGGAAATTTGCCTTCAACGTACTACAACTATTTAGAATCGAGTTTACACCTTTAATACTTCGTGCATTGAATCTTACTCAAACATGTAATTTTTATTTCAGGAAAACATCAAACCCAAAACATGATACCATTTCAAAGCATACATTAGAGATGACGTGATTAGCATGTAAACAAGTAGGCTACATGGCTCCAGTGCGCAGGATTTTCGTGCCAGGACAGCGGCGTTTGCACCCCATGAAAATGCATCTCCAAAGTTGGGCCTTTCAGCAAGACATTTTTTTCTAGAACCAAAATACCATAATTGCTGTAGAGGTCTTGACCTCTGCTATGTCTTTGTCTTTGGTGGCGACTACCAGGGGCCTTTCTTGAGCAATTAGTGGGGTCGGTTAAGCCCGGGGCTTGTTCCATCCATCACGGCGAATTATGAAATTGTAGCGTAACAAGATTCGCCTGTATTAGGTGCCTACAAATTAGCATAACCCAGTCTTACAGTGAAAACAAGGTCATTTAGGTTTACAAAGGCACCGCGACCGATCAAAATGCCGACTCAATTAAAGTTTTAAAGTCAAACTCTTGGCTTCGGTTAATGATGATGTTTGTTTTGTTTGTTTAAGTGCATTAGTTTTGCTGCTACTTGTTTAAAGGGCCGATGCAATGTACGGTCATTGTTTAAAGCAATCCTTGAAAAATGCACCTTTGTGGCCCAAAATTTCACCTTTTTTTCAATTTCCATGTTTCCATTTTAAGGGTATTTTGGTGCCTTTTTGGGTTTTATGCTAAAGCGAATTTCCATATTCATGAGCAAAACTGTGATGTAATTTCAACACCAACGAATGCCAGAAGTTTGGATATTTTGCTGTCGTGAATTTTCTTTTCTTTGGCGATTCGTTCATGCAGTAAGCCAATAAGCAAACTTTTCCACAAATGTTTTCAATGAGCATGTTTTGGGGTTAACAACTTGAACAGAAACCCCTTAAGTGAACAGTGTCTTCCTGAAATGACATCACGTAACGGCGCCCTCAGTTGTCCGGAAAAGCATGGACATCTTTTAAATGTTTCA